GAGATGTAATCAGAGCCTAACAGGTGAAAAGAGGGGGATGGGTTCTGCAAAGATGACGTTACTGTAAGCCAGAAGGGTCTGTCCCTGAAACATAGGCACATAGGATGAAATATCCCTGATCACTTAGCTGGGCATTCTGGAGTTGAAACATAATGGCAGGTGAGGTGTTATTAACTTTCCAAATGGATAGTCTATATTTAACTCCTTCAGTGTCTTTATAACCCCAATCAGTAGCTGCAGTGGTCCTGATAGCATAAACCCATTTATCACAGGTGGAACATTGTTTATAGGCATATTTATAGCAAACATATATGTATGTCTGCCCATTCCAAGTTGCGACTGTCTTCACACTTAAAATACACACAAGGGTCAATTAACACAGTAGAGATTGTATTTGCAATGATAGTATTGTTAGGCCCAATGGTGCAACCGGGCTTCCATTGTGTGTGTCTCTTGGCAGAGTAAAATGCTGGGTTAGGACCTTTGAATTGAAACCTCTTATGTACCTGAATATATGGTTTGGCAGCCACTAACACCGCTTTACCTGTAATGAAGGGCCAAAACAACCAGAACAAAAGGAATACCACTAAGAACACAAAAAGAGGATATTGCTGTATAGAAAACACACATTGGTGTTGCAACCATTTCATCTGATTATCTTCTTCCTCGCCGCGGGTGTTGAGGAGTCACAGATGTCACATGCGGTGGAGGTGGCCTCACCATGCCAAAGAAGGCGCGTCTCAGACCGTTCATGCTGTAGCAGCCATGTCTGGGCTCCTCCATCTCAAAATGGACATGTCTTGGCTCCGTCGCTGGCTCCATCACACACTGGTCCACACACGTCGGTCACAGCTCAATGCAGGGTCTCCCCTCCTGGACGATTCTTCACTGTTTGGGTTGCAGAGTCACCGGGGGCCCCTGAACCTTAATAAGAGTACGGTCGTTGAGTTCTTCACTGGCTTTGAGACAAATGGCCCCTAGTTGATGACCGAATCCCTTTGTAAACCAGACTTTTCCCACTACTCAGCTTGTTCAGGGGTGCAGCACAGTTTGTTCAGGGGTGTGGCACTCTCTGCAGCTTGCAATGTGAGAGATGAACTCACGTCGATCATTCAGCAACTTTCACTGCTGTTGGTGTTGTCAGCAAGACCCGGAATGGACCCTCCCCGCGTGGACTGGTCCAGTTCTTTCTTTTGATAACCTTTAGGTAAAACCAGTCACCTGGTTTTACTGTTGCATGGTTTCCTGGATGAATACAGAATCAGGAGACAGTAATCTTGCACTGGACACTTTTTTATAGAGTCTGCAAGCGTCTGTCCTTCATTTGCCTCCTGTAAATCTGATCTAATCACAGGAAGCCTGTAGGGTCTACCAAGAATAATAAAAAAAATTCTTTAAAACTATTTCAGGTTTAATAAGTGTTTCAATGGATAAATAAATCTATCAAACCAGCTAAAATTTTTGCTAAACTGAAAACAAAGTCTTAAAAAAATTAAACATAAAACAAAGTCTAAAAAAAATGAAACATATTTGATACACAAAAAATAAAAACTTTGGATTAAAATGGGGTGATTTTTTTCTTTTACATATTTGTGGTTTCAGAACCAGACTGAATATAAATGTCTCATACACATTTTGCTTTTATTTATAAAGCTAACAAAGTTAAATCAAAGTTATATTATTGTACTCATCACACCCCTCTTGACAAATGGCAAAGCCCATATGTCACTCAACACTCAACTTAGGCTAACAAGAATACATTAAAAATAAATAAACTGCATCTTCTTAAACATAGAACATGCTAAACAACTTGTTTCTCATTCATAAATCACTTCCATGTAAGATGCTGCGGTTAAGAATAACTTGGTTTCTATGACTTAAATTTAGAATCGATGTAAATTAAAAAAATCCCTCTACTGGTTTGAGTAAAGCTTTTTTGAATATTCTGACTGTTTTGTATAAAGAACAGAGAATAAGTCTGGAGATGGAAGTGCTTTCCTATACACTCTTCTTTCTACATTCACCCAGATGTGGAAATGATTAAATAAATTCAAAACAGATTGATCTGGGTGAAATGTAACACTTGTTTTTTTAAGCACTGCAGCAATGTTGCTGACAAAAACATATCAAATATATAGGATAAAATAACTTCATTCTATAAAAACACAGAAGGACTGAAGAAATAAAACTCTGCAGATTTCTGAAATTTGAAGTTAATTTCTTTAATAAAATAAAAAATTAAGACTTTTAGTAGATTTGTGGCTAAAGAAAGTTGTTTTCATTTGTTTTACCACTGTGTTAACCAGCAGTCATGAACAACTAATGCAGTTAAATGTATTTAACGAAATCTGATCTTAAAACTTGATACTTTAGTGCCACAGAAGGCTTTTATTTATTAATTTTTTTCATATAATCTCGAAAGTCAAGAAGGTATTAGTAATTTGGTTCCTGTGAACAGAGATTCAGGGACATGGGTTTTTAACTTGACAGCAGGGCAGAAAGAGTGTAAACTAAATGTAATCATTCTAATCTAGAACATTATTTTGTGAGCTGTAAGTAGTTACCTCTAAATTGTAAGTCATTGTAATAGATGAAAGTGCTGCTAACTCACTGTCTTGTTTTGAAAGCCAGGAATGTAGTCATCAGTAGCAGATTACTGTCTGTGTAACATTTGTTGAACAAAAATTTGATGCACTGATAAAACTTAAAATTTTTGCAACACAGTATCCAAGTTTTATAGTTATTAAAATTTTTATAACTGGAGTAAGGGATTCATAGCTTGTACAGTTTAAATTTCAAAGTTACTGCTACTTTCATGTGGAGGAGAATAATCTACATACAAGATCTTATGACTAGAAACTATAAGTTTCTACAACTTTTTGGTTGTTTTTCAAAATCATGGAGATGAAAATTTGACAAACTCAATAGCAAAACTTAAATAGTTAAGTTTAAGTCCAAAGATTAAAAAATGTCCCAAAGTTTATTATCTTACAATTATAAGTTTTGCCAACTTTTTATCTTTTTATGACGTGGTGCATTTTTCTTTTTCCAACTCTATTTGGTTAATAAATGTCTATTTTGCATTTTTCCCAGTATGTTTCTTTTTGTAAGATAAGGACTGAGCTAGCTTTTTCCCACAGCCTTGAAGCTGTGGTATAAGCGGTGTACGGCTCCTATTTTTCTGATTCTATTGAGAAGAGGATACAAACTAGTAATTGTTGAGAATGTGTTCTCTAGCCACAGGGTGTCCTTGTAATTTATCAGTTTCATAAAAAATGTAATAATTGGTAACCATCCTGTGATTCTGTTCTATTTGTCCTTTAAGTTTTGTAAGTTTAAGTTCACCACAGGCTGTAAATATTTTGTTATTTACAATAATTATACATGTAAATTTTACCTACAGTTACTCAATTTGTCTTTTATGGCATTAAACTATTTTATTGCATTCTTAATATTTTAATCATATTATTATTGATGTCTAACAATACACTGTTGTTCTCTACAGTCTGGGCTGTTTATTGCTTTATCAATACTCTGTTCTCATGCAGACATTCCCCTTTGYCATCACTACATGTTTCCTCACAGGCAAATATCTCAACAACAGTTTATCACAGCGATATAAAATTTATGTTGCAATATTTGATCAATTTCTTCTTTCTATAAATGCATTAACATGTATTCTTTCTTCAACTGCTGTTTTATCTAGAAAATACTTGAAAAACTCTCAGGTGGGGTTCAAACTAGGAGCCAACTAAATAAGAGTACTGAATGCTGTTTTAAGAAGTTAAAGACATCTTTATATATACAATTTAAATCTTTTCCCCACTACGTTCACCTATTTTCCTTTTCTCTAAAATAATAATAATTTGTTTTTAATTTAAAAAAACTGAATATCCATTACCTACAGTTCTGTCAACTGGGGCTGTATTTTGGGGTCAGGCAGTTGTGGGTAAATATTCTTGTTACGGAGTGGTTAAACCGATTTATTACTACCTATCTGTGGTTTTTTGGGGGGTCAGGTGACCCTGTTTGTAGTTGTTTTAACAAACATTGCTTTAGGCAGTTTCCAGTCCTTCGACTTCTTATCTCTGTTG